ACAATTGATAAAAACTAAGTATGGGGGGGGGGGGGGGGGGGGGGGGTGTACTCTTATGTTTTGCATGCCGTAGCGGTTAGACCATTGACCACGCGTCCTCGAGAGGACGGAACATTGTTCCCACAGGACCGATCACCGATGGCCAATCGCTCCTTCCTACTTTGCCAAAGGTGGCTCAAAAATGTCTACCCTAGTCTGTCTATCCTAACGATATCCCTTCCCGCCTTTTCAAACCACTTCCTACTCCCCAGCACAGCTACCGTCCTCTCCTCTCTACAATTCCATGCCTCAAACATCTCCCTGTACGCCCTTGCATTTTTTCCAGCTCAGTCATGTACACTTCCCTCTCCTCTTCGTACCACGGACATTCCTCGACTACATGAACACGGTCTTAGCATTCGAAGCCGCAATCACATTTGAACTTGTCGTCTTCGTCGTCTACCGTCCTATGTCTTCGTCGACGTTCTCGAAGGCCTATGTCCCCGGCCCTGAATTTGACCTTAAGCTTTGTCCCTGCATCCATTGGTCCATGTAGGTGATCCTTGAACCCTATTTCTTCTTTCAACATTCCGTACACTTGTAGACCCTCCTTATCCTTGGTTTCTTTCCTTAGATTCTGTTTTTCTCTCTCGGCACAAGCAACAGATATCTTCTCCTTGAACCCCTGTAGACCCTCCGTTTCCAGTGTTTTATCTTCGCCGATGTCTAACCCCTTCCATACGTCCTCTACAACCTTGACCCATTCCGTGGGTTGTCTACCCCTCTTTTTGTTTGCCCACTTCGCCTCCCATACTATTCTCGGCAACCTCTCCTCTCCCATCCCGCACATGCGATACTGCCATGTCAGCTTCCTTGCGTCTCTTCCCCACCGCAGCGATCGGATCCCCAATTCTGCCCTGACGGCTGCATTACTCGTGCGCTTGGAGCATCCTAGGATGACTTTCGCTGCTTTCATCTGTGCCGCCTCGAGTTCTTTCACTACCTTCTTATTTCCTTCCCATACTTCTCCGGCGTACTCTAGCGGCGGTACGATTACGCTCTTCAAAACCGTCAATTTGATGCATGTATCGAGGTGCCGGTTGGCGAGTATTGGGTGCAGCTTCCCTGCCCGCGCTTTGCCCTTTTCCGCTACCTTGGACATGTGTGCATTCCACGAGCAGTCTTTTGCGATCTCTACTCCGAGGTATGTGTACTGGTCCACTACTGCAATCTCCTCGATCCCCCACTTCCATCTATGTTCTACTGGTTCCTCCCTGACCTCGTTGCGTTCCATGACGGCACTCTTCTTAACGTTGGCAGACAATCTCCACTTATCAGTAAACTTCTTCGCCGCGTCAATTTGTAGTTGCAGTCCCTCAGGGGTGTCCGACATACCAACAAAATCATCCGCAAACAGCATTCCTGACACCGAAGTTTCCGTGTCCCCTACTTTTACTCCCTTCCGGACTGCCTCTACGACTTCCAACAGATCGTTGATGAACACCTGGAACAAAGTCGGGGACAGCGTGCAACCTTGTGGGACGCCCTGCTCAATGTCGAAGAATTTAGACAGTTCTCCGTCTAGAATGACCGCGCTTTTCGTACACTCTGTCATCTTCTTCAGCACTCCACATTTTCCCCTTCATACCGTACTTGGACAATTGTTTCCACAGCCAATTTCTCCATACGGTATCGTATGCCTTTTTCACGTCCAGGAAGAAGCAGTACGTCGGCTTTCCCGCCCTCTTTCTACCTTGGATGATTCTCCCTATCGTGAATGCGTAGTCTACGCACCCCCTCTTCAGTCGGAAACCTGCCTGGCCCTCACTAATGCTACGTTTCTTCTCCAATACTCCCACTATCCTATCGTTCAGCAGCTTACAAAACCCTTTTCCTACTGTGTTCAACAGTGTGATACCCCTGTAGTTTCCTAGGTCAGTCTTGTCTCCTTCTTGAACAAGTTCACAACCACTCCTTCCCTTCATCTACTTGGCGCATACTCGTTTTTCCACACCCAGTTGCACAGCAAAGCCATCAACTGGATCATCCCCTTCCCCCCAAACTTCATGAACTCGTTGACTATCCCATCCGCCCCTGCTGCTTTGTGGCACTGCAGCTTGTTCACACACGCCTCAACCTCATCCTTGGTCAACTCCTTTTCTAGTTCTACGTTCCCAACGTCTGCCTTCGGCGTCTCTTCTTTCTGGGCCCATGCGTCCACCTCCTTCTTAAACACTTGGTCAAAAGCTTCATTCTCCGAAGGCACTCCAAGTCTCTTGTAGTGTCCTGCTAGAACTTCCCTTTTTCCCTTCCCACTGCTGACTAGTCCACCGTTCACACCTCGCAAAGTTGCTACCCCTGTATCCCCCCCTTGCGCGGTCTTTTTTACCATCCCACTAGTCCCTTCCCACATCTGCTTGGCGTTCCCCTCCGGGGGGGGGGGGGGGGTGTACTCATAGTCGTGCATGCCGTAGTCGTTAGACCATTGACCTCGCATCCCTACAAAGCCGGGACGGAGCACGCCGGGTTCTCACCGGACCAGGCTCTCACATCACCAAGCGCGAAGCGCCGTGAGGTATTTGGCGAGTCGCATGAAGGGTGAGCTGCATCCTGCTAAGGGTGTTCGGCATCTTGTGCTTTCTTCCTTGCGTACGGATGACAGCTACGTATGACTTAATTTATTTTCTGGTGCTTTCACTTCCAGAGACAGTTGTAAGCACTGTGTAACTGCCTCGAGGAAGCTTGACCATTTTAACACAACGTGGTGCGATCATCCCCCGTTGCGCGGAGTGAGGTTTCTCGACCCCGCACAACATGATCTACTCGACCACCATTATGGTTACCGCCAAAAAAAAAACCAGAGGTAAAAAAAAAGACGGTAACCTGGTTGCCGAGTTCACGAAGTGAATTGGCTTGTTTTACAACGTCGTTGCCAAGCGACGAAAACCCAATCCCGATGGCAAACACCGAGTGGGGGGCTTGTTTTACAACGTCGTTGCCAAGCGACGAAAACCCATCCGGGGGGGGGGGGGCGTACCCATTTGTTGCTTGCCGAAGGCATTTGACCATTGACCACCCGTCCCTTTCGAGACGGAGCACCGGGGGGGAGGGGGGAGGGGGGTGTACTCAAAGTCGTGCATGCCGTAGTCGTTAGACCATTGACCTCGCATCCCTACAAAGCCGGGACGGAGCACGCCGGGTTCTCACCGGACCAGGCTCTCACATCACCAAGCGCGAAGCGCCGTGAGGTATTCGGCGAGTCGCATGAAGGGTGAGCTGCATCCTGCTAAGGGTGTTCGGCATCTTGTGCTTACTTCCTTGCGTACGGATGACGGCTACGTATGACTTAGTTTACTTTCTGGTGCTTTTACTTCCAGAGACAGTTGTAAGCACTGTGTAACTGCCTCGAGGGTGCTTGACCATTTTAACACAACGTGGTGCGATCATCCCCCGTTGCGCGGAGTGAGGGTTCTCCACCCCGCACCATATGATCTACTCGACCACCATTATGGTTACCGCCAAAAAAAAAACGAGGTAAAAAAAAAAACGGTAACCTGGTTGCCGGGTTCACGAAGTGAATTGGCTTGTTTTACAACGTCGTTGCCAAGCGACGAAAACCCAATCCCGATGGCAAACACCGAGGGGGGGGGCTTGTTTTACAACGTCGTTGCCAAGCGACGAAAACCCAACCCCGATGGCAAACACCGGGGGGGGCGACACTCGGCGAGTCGCATAAGGGGGGGGGGGAGGGGGAGCAACCAGACCATGCGTTGCGAGCTTCGCGGGAGGGTTGGGGTTGTGCTGGCCGACCGGCGGGACACCTAAGATCGGTCGCTCGAACAACAACACCCCACTAGACTCGGTCTACCGCTCGCTGTGCATTTTCAGCCTTTTCGTGTTCGCGTATCGTGCGCGCGCATCCCCGCCAGGCCGCACGCAGGTTTTGTTGGTGCATAGCGTACCCCCCTTTGGTAGCAGCCGGCTTGTGGCCACGCAAGGCGTCCGCGTCAGTTGGACCAGTACGGACATTAGAAGGTACTGAGCGGAGACCGGAAGAACGGTTTTTAATGTGAAGATAACAACAACAACAGCAATAGTGCACGCGTGCGTGTCTCTTAATAAGCTGTCGTTCCTCTTTTGTTGTTGTGCACCGTCTCCTCGTGTGCGTCGTGACAGAGCTGCTGTGCCCTCACGGGCGAGGGGGTTTTCTATGGGCTCGACTGGCTGTGCGAGGCGCTCAAGAAGAAGAACAGGAGGGGGGCGAGGAGGTAACGAACGCCCGACCGGTTTGATTCGACAGGGACAGGATATACGACGAGATCCAGAAGAGGAAGCCGTCGGAACGAAAGAAAAGAGCCTCCGTTGTGTGCAGGAGGAATGTTCCGCACAAGCGTGACGAAGAAGAAAGATAACTTTCTTGCGTTTTTCCCCCCCCCGAGGTTGCACGCTGTCCCCAACATTGTTCCAGGTGTTCATCAACGATCTGTTGGAAGTCGTAGAGGCAGTCCGGAAGGGAGTAAAAGTAGGGGACACGGAAACTTCGGTGTCAGGAATGCTGTTTGCGGATGATTTTGTTGGTATGTCGGACACCCCTGAGGGACTGCAACTGCAAATTGACGCGGCGAAGAAGTTTACTGATAAGTGGAGATTGTCTGCCAACGTTACGAAGAGTGCCGTCATGGTATGCAACGAGGGCAGGGAGGAACCAGTAGAACATAAATGGAAGTGGGGGATCGAGGAGATTGCAGTAGTGGACCAGTACACATACCTCGGAGTAGAGATCGCAAAAGATTGCTCGTGGAATGCACACATGTCCAAGGTAGCGGAAAAGGGCAAAGCACGAGCAGGGAAGCTGCACCCAATACTCGCAAACCGGCACCTTGATACACGCATCAAACTGACGGTTTTGAAGAGCGTAATCGTACCGCCGCTGGAGTACGCCGGAGAAGTATGGGAAGGAAATAAGAAGGTAGTGAAAGAACTCGAGGCGGCGCAGATGAAAGCAGCGAAAATCATCCTAGGATGCTCCAAGCGCACAAGTAATGCAGCAGTCAGGGCAGAATTGGGGATCCGATCCCTACGGTCGGGAAGAGACGCAAGGAAGCTGACATGGCAGTACCGCATGTGCGGGATGGGAGAGGAGAGGTTGCCGAGAATAGTATGGGAGGCGAAGTGGGCAAACACAAAGAGGGGTAGACAACCCACGGAATGGGTCAAGGTTGTAGAGGACGTATGGAAGGGATTGGACATCGACGAAGATGAAACGCTGGAAACGGAGGGTCTACAGGGGTTCAAGAAGAAGATATCTGTTGCTTGTGCCGAGAGAGAAGAACAGAATCTAAGGAAAGAAACCGAGGATAAGGAGGGTCTACAAGTGTACGGAATGTTGAAAGAAGGAATAGGGTTCAAGGATTACCTACATGGACCAATGGATGCAGGGACAAAGCTTAAGGTCAAATTCAGGACCGGGGACATAGGCCTTCGCGAACGTCGACGAAGACATAGGACGGTAGACGACGAAGACGACAAGTTCAAATGCGATTGCGGCTTCGAATGCGAAGACAGTGTTCATGTAGTCGCGGAATGTCCGTGGTACGAAAAGGAGAGGGAAGTGTACATGACCGAGCTGGGAAGAATACAAGGGACGTACAGGGAGATGTTTGAGGCATGGAATAGAGAGGAGAGGACGGTAGCGGTACTGGGGAGTAGGAAGTGGTTTGAAAAAGCGGGAAGTGACATCGGTAGGATAGACAGACTAGGAAAGACATTTTTGAGCCACCTTTGGCAAAGTAGGAAGGAGCGATTGACCATCGGTGATCGGTCCTGTGGGAACAATGCTCCGTCCTCTCGAGGACGCGTGGTCAATGGTCTAACCGCTAAGGCATGCAAAGCATAAGAGTACGCCCCTCCCCCCCCCCCCGAGAGGGGGAGGGGGGGGATATGACGCGTCCTGAATAATGCATAGTTTTGTTTGAGCCCCGTGGAATGGATATCTGGTCTCACGGTGCACTCGAAGACTTTTCGTTGGCGCTGAAGCACGTAGAACGCATCAGGAAGGACCTTCTCGAGTGTTCACTCTGTTCATGTTGTTGTTGCTGTTGTTGCTGGTTGTTTCTTGTTGTTTCCACTGACTCTTGCGGTTATTGTCATGTCGTTGCCACTGTTGTTCTTGTTGCTGTTGTTGTTCTTTCCGTTGATCCTTGCGGTTATTGTCATGTCGTTGTCGTTGTTGTTCTTGTTGCTGCTGTTCTTTCCTTTGATCCTTGCGGTTATTGTCATGTCGTTGCCGTTGTTGTTCTTGTGACTGTTGTTCTTTCCATTGATCCTTGCGGTTATTGTCATGTGTTGGTTGTTGTTATCGTACGTCGTCGTCTTTCGTCGTCTTCCGTCGTCTATCGTCGTCATGATCGGTTGTAAATCCACACGGGTATGGGAAAGGTTAGCAGTTTGAACCTCGTTTGGTTGGGTAATCGGACGCTTCCGGCACTGTCATGGTTGATCATGATCGCCGTTCGTTGTTGTTGTTGTCGTGGTTGCCGTCGTCTGTTGTTGTTGCTCATTATTAGTGCACAAGATGTTGATTTTATGCACAAAGGTGTGAAAAAGGTGGAGCTTTGTGGCTTGGAGCCCGTTTGGTTAGGGTATTGGGACGCTTGGCTTGTAGGTACAATTATGATTTTTGGTTGCCGTTTGTTCTTGTTGTTGTCGTCGTCTCTTGTTAAATGTTAAAATGTCAGCAACACGTTGATTTTGAGTACACAAGGGTGGGTGTGAAAAAACTTCGCGTAAATTAGTTTGGAACCCATACATATGGTGGTGTATTGGACGCTTGTTGCGATCGGTGGTTACCGTCCGCTGTTGTTGTTGTTGCCGCCGCTGTCTTCGTCATCGAAAAGTTTGTTGTTGTTGCTATCCGCTGCCACTTGCTCTAGTTTGTTGATCCCTGCACAGAAAAGGGGAGCGTGGCGATAAGGCCAATTAGATGGAGACTGGGCGCGTCCTATTTTTTTTCGTGGTTTACTAAAGTTTTTTGTCTTTCTCGCATCCCCAGGGCAGGGAGCGGGGTTGGCTTGGGTCGGTGAATTTTAAAACCCAGGGAGCGATGAACGCTCCTCCTTCGATTCTTCGTGCGAACTTGAAGGAGAACCCTCTTTCAGGTCGTCACCGTGTTAGTTTGTCGTGACACTCTATTAGTACGATCTCTATTTCTTTGCTTGTTAAAAGTATTTTATTCGATCAGGAGTGAGTGTACAGTAGTTTATTTGGATATAGTAGTTCTTCCCTTTTACTCTCAGGCCCCGTCCTCCTCGCGCTACCCTCCCTGCTTCGTATCTCTCTCTGTGTTTTTCTGGACTGCCTTACCTACCTAGCATTCCGGCAGGGGTGTGTATGTACTTTAAGGACGGTCGGATTTTCCCGAGTTCAATTAGTTTTTTTTTCGTAAGCTATTCTGCGTTCGTTCATACTTCGAAGAGTGAGACAAGGTCAGAACGGCCCTTTTATATGGTCATGATGCCCAGGCAACAAAAGGTTAGCCTATGATGTGCAACTACTAGACTACTACTGTTGTAGTACTGTAGGTGGTTGTCACAACCAGTGCAATTCATTTGTATATTGTCGCCGTGTGGGGGGAAAGTTAAGTTTTTTGTGCCGTGCTTAGGTAGTATCTATTCTGGTGAAGGTTAGAATGTCCTTTGCGAAGTAGTAAGTGTTGATCAAGCCGTGCGCTGGAGGCCCATCGAAGGGTACTCATGCATGCATCCGTTTTTTTCATGATGCAAGTCTCGGGGGGGGGGTTGGTTCCCAGGGGAGAGACTCGCTTCGTATGTATAGTCATGACGATGCTGCGCTGTGTAATGGTATTTGACCCCTTCCTTCAGAATCAATCACCTTTGAGCTGTAGCTGTGTGGAACTCTCTTGTCCGACCACAGTAGTAGCAGGTTGTTGTTGCTTTCCGTTGTTCTCTTTCTCTTGATTAACGCTTTCCAAGCCAACACAATATCCCACGCACACACGATCAGGGATCGTCTGTACGCACACACTGAACAGAAGGGCACATGTCTCGGCATAAAGCCCTGATCTAGCATGACGTCACGTCATAGCATCCGACGGCGCCAAATAACCATGACCAACCACTATCACATGTCTACCTCCAAATACCATAACAATAGCCCACCCTGAGTGGACGTAGATGCAGATACAGAAGCAAACCTCGGAGGGACTCTAGTCAATCAAGAGGATTGCGGGATGGATCGAAGATACGACAACTCAAAACCCTCACCCGCACCTCTCCGTTAACCAAAAAAAAGAAGCGGAACCAACAAAGAAGAAAACGAAGAAACCGGGGCGGCAAAGTCGGCGGATAAAATCGGGAAAAGGCACATGGGCGCGAAAAATAACCAAAACATCCGAACCGAAAAGACCAAAACATAACACGAAGTAACGAAATCGTGAAGAGAAAATCACAAACGATCTCGCACGGATGAACCGATCGAATACGCAATCAAGTAAGCCAGAACCTTACGGGAAGGGGGGCTACGATGCGATCGAGTGCTGAAATGTAAACATAAAGAATAAGAAACGAAAACCGAGCCTGCAAAGGATCAAACGACATGGAAAACCGTTAGGGGCCGACCAAAATCGAGAAAAGCAGGGAAAGAGGGGGTTTCCGGGGAACGTAAACAACGACCAAAGAAAAGGACAGGAACCAACGCCAAAAACAACGTTCGCATGTCACGATACAACGTGCTTGCGATCGGGGTGGGGCGAGGAAAACAATCCTAATGGGACGTCAAGGCCAATTGCAGGAAGAAAAATGCTAAAGAAAGTATCCAGATGGAACACGTTGGTCGTGGCATGCAATAGAAGCACTGGCGGAACGTTGGACCACAAAATATGCAAAGCAAACCATAGGGGGGGGAGTTAAACGATGCACCAACTTTGGGTGTCACCGCAACTAATGACGAACCTAGGTCGCATGGAAAAATAGGAAAAGGGGAGCGAAAACTTTCGACAACCGACCGAGAAGTGACAAACGGGGCGAGAAAGTACGCGACACAAAAACAAGAGCCAGTCTCAAAGAGATTGAGAGGGCGAGCGGAAAGCATAAAGGAGCAATAGCCAGTCCCGAAATATTCGAGAGGGCGAGCTAGAAACATGCAGAAGCAATAGCCAGTCTCAAAAATCGATCGAGAGGGCGAGCTAGAAACATACAGAAGCAATAGCCAGTCTCGAAAATCGATCGAGAGGGCGAGCTAGAAACGTACAGAAG